CCCATTTTTTTTATTTTTTTTTGCGGCAAAGTTCTACTCTAACCCCCATACGTACGTATTCACAATGCTCAACCCCAGGGGGGGTGGCTAATTGCTGTCCGTTTTTTTTTTTTTTTTACAGCAAAGATCTACTCTGCCCCCCATACGTACGTATTCAGAATGCTCAACCCCATTGGGGGTGGCGAAATGCTGTCCAATTTTTTTTATTTATTTTTTTAACGCCCAACGTACGTTTTCAGAACGCTCAACCCCATGGGGGGTGGCGAAATGCTGTCCAATTTTTTTTGTTTTGTTTTTTACGGCAAAGATCTACTTTACCCCCCCCCCCATACGTACGTATTCAGAATGCTCAACCCCATGGGGGGTGGCGAAATGCTGTCCGTTTTTTTTTGTTTTTTTTTTTGTACGGCAAAGATCTACTCTGCCCCCCATATGTACGTATTCAGAATGCTCAACCCCTTTGGGGGTGGCGAAATGCTGTCCATGTTTATTTTTTTATTTTTTTTACGGCAAAGATCTACTTTGCCCCCCCACCCCCACCCAATACATACGTATTCAGAATGCTCAACCCCATGAGGGGTGGCGAAATGTTGTCCGTTTATTTGCACCCCTTCCTTGCTGTTATGTCGATGAAGGTTTTAGAGAGAGAGAGAGAGGGAGGGTGAGAGAGCGAGAGACGGAGAGAAAGAGAGAGAGAGCATCCGGGTTTTCAATTGATCTGACACCCCTTCCTTGTTGTCTGCTGCATTGTCGCCGCCATCATATTCAGGATGCCTAAAGCAGGTGCAGAGGCGATCAAGCGCCATTTTGAGAAACTTAGCGTGCATGGGGAGTCAGGGAAAGGAAACTACAATTGGAAATGTCGGTACTGCGAACTCGTGTTCCCTGGGACCGCGAAGCGCTGTGCAGAGCACTTCAAGTCCACGACAAAAGGGCCCAGGTGCAACATGAACAGGCTAGGCGGTAGGCTGTCAGCGGAGGAAGGAGAGAAGAGGGAGGTGGGCCGGCTGGAGGGAATTGCGCTGGTGCGTGGAAAGGCTGTGCAACCCGCACTGTCACAGGATTGCCCCTCTGACGTCGAGGGCACGGACGAACCGGAGGACGAGGAGGAATGCAGCAGCCCCCAACCTCCTCAAAACAAGGTCAACACAGGTCTTTCCACCACCACTAACGTGCGGCAGACTACGCTGGAAGAGGGCGGGGCGATAATCTCTAAGAACGAGAAAGCACAGCGGTCTATAGACGACTGGTTGGTTTATGAAGGAGTCCTCATCAACATGGTGCGCAGCAAGTATTTCTTGCGCATGATAGAGAAGGTCCGCGACGCGGAGCGGTCCTTCATCCCCGCGAAATACGACATGCAGCGGACGAAGAGGTTGGACATTTCCCGGGCGCGGGTCGAGGAGGGGGTTTTGCGACAGCAGAGAAGTTGGGCTCGAACCGGATGCATGCTCCGACTTGACGGCTGGACTGACATAAGAGGCAGACCGCACTTGAATGTCATGGTCTCCTTTCCGACCGGTGTGCTTTTTTGGAAGTTGCATTGCATGTCAGGCAAGGAGAAGGGAGCTGCAGCGTACTTCGACATCTTATCTGAGTCGATTCGCGAAGTTGGCGAGAAGAGTGTTGTTGGAGTGATAATGCACAACGCTGCTGTGTGCGTGAGAGCTGGCAGATTGGTGGAGGATACATTCCCGCTAACCTTCCATGTGCCATGCGTTGCGCACTGCCTCGACTTGATGCTGCACGACATTGGGAAGATAGAGTGGGTTGCTGAAACGGTGACGAAGGCGAACGACATGGTGAAGTTCGTCATGAGCCACCAGCGAGTCAGGGATGTTTACTACATCCATGCAGATGGAAGGCAGTTACTGCGACCCGCGGCAACGCGTTTCGCCACCAACTTTCACATGCTGGACCGCTTGAAGAACCAGCGAAAAGCGTTGGTGGCTATGGTCACAGACGACATGTGGACAACGACGTTGGTCCCCCATGCGCAGCGCTCGACCCTCCACGAGATGGAAGACATCATACTCGATGCAGCAGGTTTTTGGGATCTTGTGAACAAGGCAATCAATGCCGTTTACGACATTGTATTGCTGCTGAAACTGGTGGATGGCAACGGTCCGACCATCAGCAAGGTTTATGCAAAGATGGACAGGATAGTGGAGCGCCTGCGAGTTAACAAGGACCTGACAGTGGATCAGCGGGATGAGATCGAGGTGATGGTCATGCGCAGATGGAATGCCATGACCACCCCCCTCCATTGTGCAGCCCTGTTCCTGGATCCAGAGTACAGGTCGTTTGAGCCGCACAAGGATGCAGAGATCCAAGATGGATTCTACACCTGGGTGTACACATGGCTCAAAGGGGCGTCACAGGAGGTGTGCGACCAGGTGGAGTACGAAGTCGATTGTTGGGTTCAGAACATTGGCRAGTTCAGCTCGCAGRTGGCYATGGATGCAGCCCGTAAGCAGAACCCTGCRGCATGGTGGAAGCGCTGGTGCAATGAGCTACAACACTTGCAGCCCCATGCCATTCGACTGTTGGGGCAAGGGTCGTCTGCTTCAGGCTGCGAAAGGAATTGGAGCCTTTTCGCAGCAATTCACACCAAAGAGCGCAATGGCCTGGCCCCAAAGACAATGCACAAACT